TAAACTAGGTTTAGATTAAACTTAGTTTGTTCATAACCTTGAAGTGTCAATTTTTGTGTGACAGTGTCAACTCTGAACTCTTTTTTTTTTTTCTCATTAAGGGGAAAATTTGCATCAGATTTAAACCAGAAAAGTCATTTTTTTCTTCCACAGCTAAAAGAAAGGAACTGTGAATATGTACTTTATTCCTTCTGAGAAAATGAATGTTTAATATGTGGTAGGTTCTCTTATTAGCAATATTTTTGTCTGCTACTATAACAGGTATTTCTCATTGTGATGTTAGCTGTGTGCTCAGCAAAAGAGAGGGTTAGAGTGGTAATCGTTGCCTTAAAGGATATGTTCTGTAAACACATTTAGACTTTCCTCTGCATCTTTTCTTTGCAAATCAAAGTTGTGCAGGGGCAAATCCATCAGGGTTGTTTCTCTCAAGTTAAGAGGTGCATCTAGGGACTTCTGCCTGACGAGCTGTAGTTTGAAATAATGTCAGATCTGAAACTTTCAGCTTACAGGGTTGTAAATATGCCTACTAAAGTAGGTTCATGAGGTATGTGTAGTAGCATGGTTGGTTGTTTTGGAAGGACACCACCCCATGCCAATAATAACTTGTAGTAAATACTCCAGTTTTGTAATTGAATGTGCTTAATAATTTTCAATGTCAAATGTATACTGAGTGCAGTTGTTTTAGGCATCAATGAAAGAATTGAGTATTTCTTTCAATAAGTAGTTTCTCAGTGTGCAACTCAAAGTTTGAGTTGCCCTTCAAGATTATTTGAGAAATTTCTTAGGAATGATAATGTAGAAAGCTGAGCTGTAGCTTTGCTACACCACTATGAATACAAGCCAAGCAGTGTTGTGAGGAGTGGGTCATAAAAGCATACTCATTATCTCTTTCCTAGAAGGTAAAAATGCCCCCCGAGGCCTTGTCAGTTAGTGCAACAACCTGACAGGGAAAAAGTTGATGGATCTGGAACGTAGGCTACATTCCTCAGACAGAGAAGGGAGTTTTAGTTTTAGTACCCTGAGGTAAGGAGGGACTCAGCCTCCCTGGAGCAAATGTTTGTATAAATGGCTGAAAGAAAATGATGCTATCTCCTCCTTTGCAGATAAAGTGTTCATGAATCTAACTGAAAAATTACAGCCAGAAGCTCTTGAGTGCAGGAAAAATAATCTTTCATTCTCTTGTGTTGGAGTGGATGTAAAGTGTTTTCCTTGCGCCTGTACCTGCTTTGAGCTGCCTCCCTGCCCAGGGTGAAGGCTTTCTTGAGTACTGGGTGATGGTGTGTATTATCACAGACTGGGCATCTTGTTGCAGGGGCTGAGTACTAAAAGTGAGGTGCCCAAAGGCAGAAATGTGCTAATTCTTAGTGTGCTCTGGATCTGCCCGAAGGGCCAGTTGTGTAGCAAGTGGCCCAAAGATCAGACCTGGGGATCTGGGATGCTGTCAAGCTGCCTTTTCCCAGGTAAGCCAGCACACCTAGCTGTAACACAAGATGTGTCAGGAAGATGAGAAGAGGTACAAGACTGTGATCAGTTAGGATTTTCTTTAAGGAAGAAAGGTGCCATGTGCTGCCACTCATCCAAGCCTCCTGTTAAGCCTGTAGACTAGGAGCCTGATGCTGCAGCTCTGAGGAAAGGGTCATTTCGATTAAAGTTGTACTCCAGAAGCACAGGTCTGATGGAGCCTGGCACAGTGCTCACAGCCAAGACCTTCAGTACAGAGCTACACAGCCAGAATGGGGCTAAACTACAAAATTGTCATATAAAAGCATAGAGATAACATAGAATTCACCTAGGCCTAAGTTTGGCCAAGGAGCACACAGTCTATTCAGACAGTGTAGAAGAAAAGAGAGATAAACTATTCAGATTAAGAGGGGAAGGAAGGCCTACTGTGAAATCAAATGAAATTACAGATTAAATTAGGTATTAGGAAAAAATTCTTTACTGTGAGGGTGTTGAGGCACTGGAACAGGTTGCCCAGAGAAGTTGTGTCTGACCCATCCCTGGCAGTGTTCAAGGCCAGGTTGGAGAGGTGTTTGAGCAACCTGATTGAGTGGGAGGTGTCCCTACCCACAGCAAGGGGTTGGAACTAGGTGATCTTTAAGGTCCCTTGCAACCCAAACCATTCTGTGGTATGATTCTGTGAAATTTATTCTTGAAACAAGTTCAGGTAGCAAATGTGAGCATTCCACTTCAAAGCAAGGTATGATGTTGGCACCATAAGTCAACACTTACTTTGTTTTAGGTACCAGTGGCAAGTTTCATTCTCTTTCCTGGCTCCCATCACCTGTCCACACAGGGCCTGAGACAGGCTGCAGGTTCTGTCAGTTCCTGCTAACTGAAAAGAATGTTTTATAGTCAGGGGCTCTTGGAAGTGAGAAACACTGGCTATGGGATTATTCTGCTGCTTCTCAAGCATTTAGAGCATGGATTAGTTTAAGAC